TATATTAATGCAAATAATCCAAATTACAGATAACATGACACTAAATGATAAATTGATTAATTCATTTATTTACACCTGTATTACTCGTTAAAACCAATATATTTAATTGAATATTTGTAATACGAGGCACGTGTGTTCCACAGATTTACATTATTTTATGCCAGTATACTATTTCATAATATTTTTTTTTATTTATTTAAATTACAAGTTGTCGAATTAGTCATTCTGTAACTTATTAAGAAATTATCCTGAAAGATACCTAATTTACAAATTGCAAAAGGTATTATAATTTGTTAACCATACATATATTTTTTCATTTATGATTTTAAATTACAAGTTGATTTGTTACTTTTAGCGTTACTTTTAAAACTATATTTCTGAATGTTTTCATAAAATTAATTATTTTTAAAACAATAACTGGTCTGCTGTAATACTTAAATCTATTTTCACAAAATTACATGCTATCTCGTAAAACATCATTAAAATGTGTAGTTGTTTAATTTTCTAACTAAATGCCATTAACGTAGTATGACTGCTTTCCTAATTGCTGTTTTGTAACGTATTGCTATTTAAAATAATAGTGATATAATCCAAATGAAAGTCGTTGTACGTCTTATGAAGATTATTTGCGATGTTCTTGGCCGTGAATCAAATTTGCAAAATATATTAAGCCATAACAACATATCAAACATCTGGATTCAGGCATATTTCTTAGACAACAATCAGTATGAATTAATATATTGAAGATATTGAATTGACATTTAAATTGGAATTTACACAATGAAATTGCTTTCTAAAAATCATATATATATATATATATATATATATATATCACAGTTATTTGTCGTACTTGTTTCATATTTGTTTATTCATTCCGGGAAACCCGGTGGCGGTACTCCGGGCGGTTCCGTCAGCGTTGTCGGTGTTGCTGTTGCTGCTGCTGTAGGTGTTTCCGTTGATGTAGGTGTTTCCGTTGATGTAGGTGTTTCCGTTGCTGTAGGTGTTCTGTTGCTGTAGGTGTTTCCGTTGCTGTAGGTTTTCCGTTGCTGTTGGTGTATCCGTTGCTGTCGGTGTATCCGTTGCTGTAGGTGTTTCCGTTGTTGTCGGTGTATCCGTTGCTGTCGGTGTTGTAGTCGCCATTACTTTGACTTCACAAACAAAATTAATTAATATATTGCAAGGAGCATCATTCCATCTGTGATCTTGTCCCCTGTATATACTTTCAACACAGTTCTCGTTTCCATTCTTGTTGTTAGGTTCCCCAACAATCCATTTTTCATATGTCATTTCTTTAGAATCGGGAAAGAACCACATAAATTTACCAGTGGAACTTCCTAAGTTATTGCCTGCTAGCCACAAATGTTCCAGCTGCGGATATTCTGTATAGGAAACTCATTAAATACCTTGAAGCTAACAGTTTTATGATATTTCTACATACTTACTTGTAGTAAGAAATGTGCTAAGAGTTTTGTATTCGGCGTCATTTTCTATAGCAGCTAATGTTCCTTGAATATGATCTTTACAGAAATTTTCAGCAGCAAACCAGGTCATCTGAAACCAATGGTATTATTTTTGCTAAGGGCATTTCTTTTATCTACATTTCAACACGTTTTACCTTCAGATTCGCAGCCACAACATATTTCTTTCCATCAGTTGTGGTTACACTATCTAATGTCACTAGAAGTAATAATTATACAAAAATCATCTTTCAGGTTGAAGTATAAAAATTAGATCATTCCAATTTACCTGGTGCATTTGAACCAACGGCGCAGCTAACACAAATAGCTGCAAATAATAAAACTAGTTTCCTCATGTTGAACTGATAATGAGAGTTTACCTGTTTCACAATTCTTTTATACTGAATTTTCAAGATATTCATCTCATTTTATTATAGTTCAAAGTATGTCTAGGTGAATGAAAGCACGTCATTAGGTCATAAAAGTATTACTTTTTATTTTGAAGCTGATACTAATATTTGAGCAAATATTTGTTTAATCTAATTACGTTTTTATCAAGATTTTGAATGGTGCTATTTCAGAAAATATTATTATTTTATTATTATTATTACTTACTGTTAAGTGTCATTTGTCAACAAACAATTCTAAAATTTTAATTCTTTATGAATAGAAAATAAATTTTTCAGTGAATTATTCAGTTTTGTCGATTGATAAAAATAAATAAAAGACCGAAGTATTTCATTCAGGCACTGTTGTTTGAAATGGCATTGGAAAAACTTTTTTTTGGAGTTCAACTCTACCAGGGCGGTTTCCTATAATTTGCGTGGATGATCAAACAATTTACGTGCAAGCCAAATATTGCCTATCCAAGTAGATTATATTGTCATGTCATTATTTGTAATGTATTTTTCTTCTCAGTTTTACCAATCCTTTATTAATGATAACATTGTCATTGCATATTGCACACGATATCGGATCTTTTAGGTTTTGGATCATTCCCAATTGACTGTATTATTAATGTTTGCTCGGCAGTCCCACACTCTTGGCGCGTTACTCACAGAAGAGGAAAAACCAATTAAAACGCTCCTTCCATTATGTTTAATTTTATCGGAACATATTTCAGAATATTTTTGTGGCGTAATAAAAAAATTCGCATCGGTCTTTTATCGTTTGCAACCTTGGTCTAAGAAAAATCAGGTTGAAATTTGGTACTAGGTAAATCCAAAAACAATCAAGTAAATTAAAAATATTTTTTTTATTAATAATTATCATATAATTTACATTAATATACATACATATAGTTTACATATTGGTGGTTCTGTCGTTGTTGACGTATCTATTGATGTTGGAGCTTATATAGTAGTTGGTGGCTCTAGTGTTGTAGTTTCCATCACTTTGACTTCACAAATGAAATTTATTACCGTATTGCAAGGAGCATCATTCCATCTGTGATCTTGTCCTCTGTATATAGTTTCCACACAGTTTTCGTTTCCATTCTGGTTGTTAGGTTCACTGATAATCCATTTTTCATACGTCATCTCCTTAGGATCGGAAAAATACCACATAAACTTACCAGTGGAACTTGCCAAGTTGTTACCTGCTAGCCACAAATGTTCCAGGTGCGGATATTCTGCATAGGAGGCTCATTATAGACCATGATGACAGTTTTCATGGTATTTCCATATACTTACTTGTAATAAGAAATGTGCTGAGAGTTTTGTATTCTGCATCATTTTCTATGGCAGCTAGTGTTCCTTGAAGATGTTCTTTGCAGAAATTTTCAGCTTCAAACCAGGTCATCTGAAACCAATGGTATTATTTTTGTTACGTGCGTTGATTTCACTTGGATTTTGACAAGTTTTAACCTTCAATTCTGCAGCCACAACATTTTTTTTTCCATCGGTTGTGTCACACTATCTGAATTCGCTAAAAATAAAATTATAATATCAAAAATCATCCTGTGAATCTAAATTATTTCAATTTACCTGGTGCAATTAAACCAACGCGCCGCAAACACAAACAACTGCGAATAATAGAAGTACTTTTCCCATGTTGGTTTTGAATGCTTTTTTCTTATAATTTTTCTCATTTTATACTTTATTTTATTTACTTGTATTAATAAAGAATTAAATAGATAAACAAACATAATCATAAAGTATTACTTTTTAATTGATATACTTATATTTTTAATTTTAATATTTACTTGTAAATATTTATTCAATTATATTAAAATATTCAATTACATATATATTAATGATCTATCTTAATTATCATATTTATTCATATTATAATATAAATTTATAATATTATTTAATAAATATCAATTTATTAGAAATCAATAACAACGTTATTCTTAAAATAGTATTGCATGAATTTGAAGATATCTTTACAATGAAATCATATTCATCTAATATATGATGCGTATGTATTTCTTATTACTTGTTTATGATATTTTATTTGAAAAATCATTCTTGCATCCTCCACAAATGGGATCAGGCACGTCGAAATAATCATTGCGATAATAATATTTACCATATTTTTCGTGAAAAACCTTCTTCACCAAATTGTTGACCACATTGGGCGCATGAAAAGTGCTGGGTATGCGATGTTTTTTCTAAGGCTGCTACGCATTTCTGGAAAAGAATAATGGATTAAAGGACACAACTGAAAAAATATTTTCTGGTTGGGAAAATTTAAAAGTTTTTAGATTCGTTGTATAAATTGAATTTGTTCGCCTTCGAAACCCTGTTCTCTGAATTTGCACACGGCGCGAACCTGCGCGTCCGCGTGTGGCCTTTCTTGGCGCTACTTCATATACTAAACTGATTCCCCTTCTTCCTTCGGACATCCTAATTCTCTCGTGCTTTAGTTTACATGTTAAATCTCGGAAAACGTCAAGCTTCAGTCTTTAGTTTGCTGCAGCAGGATTACCAAGTACCACCTGAAGAAAGGATCCTTGTGGGACATAAACAGTACGGTTAAAACAAAGTGTTGGGGATTACTAGATTGCCTTTTTAATATTTTTTAATCACGGTTATTTTGTTTGGATATTGCAACAGTGACATCGATCTACTACCTTTGGAGTTTTATTTAGTCACTAAATTTACAAAATAAACATTGGTTTATTTCGGTTATAACATCGTTTCACAACATGCGACCTCGCGCGATTTGTTGACGCTGGCTCTGCTTGATTTTCTGTAACTTATTTCCGAACATTGCGTCATAGGCCGAATATATGTTATATATCGATTTTCAATTTTTAAGTGCATTGGTTTACATATAAAGTCATCATTACTTAATTGGAAATTCGAGAAAAACTTGGCGGCGTTTCAAGCGGTTGAAATGTCAAAACCGAACGCCATGTGTAAACCATCGCACATGCACTATCAGATATAATGGATGAAACAATAATTTTCAATAATGTTATTATTTTATTACATGCATTTTATTTTATTTTTTCAGATTACCTCGAGCTCTCACCAGCACCAAACGGTGACAGAATCGAGCAAATCAGTGCAAACGATCACCCACAAGATCAATCAATTAGATTCTATGTTAGGAAACTTACAAGCAGACATGTCCAGACAAGGTGTTAATACTGCTCAAAAAGGAAGCTGTGGTGCTTGTGACAAAGCCATTGTTGGGCAAGTCATAACTGCCCTTGGCAAACATGGCATCCTGAACATTTCGTTTGCAACCATTGCAACCAAGAATTGGGAACAAGAAACTTCTTCGAAAGAGATGGACACCATACTGCGAACCTGATTACCATAATTTGTTCAGCCCAAGATGCGCGTATTGTCATGGAGCTATTTTGGATGTAAATATAAAATCTATCCAGCAAAACCATATATAAACTACAAACTTTGAAATTTTTTCAACAAGATTATATTTTTCCCCTTAATCATTGTTCGTTATCTTTTCCAGAAATGCGTAACAGCCTTAGAAAAAACTTGGCACACAGAGCACTTCTTCTGCGCCCAATGTGGTCAACAATTTGGTGAAGAAGGTTTCCACGAAAAAGATGGTAAACCTTATTGTCGCAATGACTATTTCGATATGTTTGCTCCCAAATGTGGAGGATGCAACCGTCCAATCATGGAAAATTATATATCTGCATTGAACAGCCAGTGGCATCCCGACTGCTTTGTCTGCAGGGTAAGTCAGATAAAAATATACCAAATACGAAAGTTATGTTTTAAACGATTATATATGTTGATGTATCAATCGCAATGTCATGTTTGAATTTAGGATTGCAAGAAGCCAGTATCCGGTAAATCTTTTTATGCCATGGAAGGTAAACCAGTATGCCCAAAATGCGTGGGCGTTGAGGAAGAAGACGAATAAATAAATAAGACTTATGATTATGCCCCTTTTACCCAAAAAATGAATCTTCAGATGCCCTCTTAAAAATGCCTTTAAATGACATGAACAATGATGATGGCAGTCCAGGTTTTCTTATAAGGAAACCGATGCTGCAATGCCCCCTTGTCCATTTTTTACAGGTTCTTCTTTGCATTTGGAAAAATGCAATTTAAGGAAAACACAACACTGTCTTCAAACACTTTTCACTGTACTGATCATATAAAATTCACACGCAAAAATATTTTGCAGACGACGCTTAGAATATCAAAAAATGAGATTATATTTATATTTTTTATTATTTATTAAGCAACCTACTAATTAGACACTAGACTTTATATATAAATGTATATATTATGAAATAAATGTAAATAAAAATTAAAAAAAAACAAAAAAGATATAAACAAAAACAAAACAACACAAATACAAAAAACACACACGTTTGAATTGCAAGTGTATGTAGTACATGCATTTGTACGTTTTTCCTGATACGATCAGGATACGTCATTTGTCCTTGATCAGGACATGTGCATAATATTTGCCCTATGACGAGTTTTTTTATATTTTGGCAAAAAATAAATTCAAGGTCCTGCCCTTTAATATTTTTATAAAAATATACTCAAGGTGTTTACTTTTAGCAATCGTAAATAGTACGGATAAATTGCTTTGACTTTGACTTGATTGATCATATCACCTAATTATTTATATTAACGTAATCTTTCCATTAGCATTAAAATTAGCTATTCAGATTAAATTTTATAATTAGCTATTTAGTTTATTAATATCGTTAACAGAAGTTGAGTACATCCAAATGTGTGTTCTTTGATATTGTGTTTGTTTTTTGTTTTCAAAAAACTTTTAATAATTTTTTTTTGGTACTAGTATGTTTTCGAACATACCTTTGCATATTTATTTCATAAAATGCATTTATATAATATATAAATTTTAGTATCTAATTACTAAGTTGCTTAATAAATAATAAAAAAAAGTAATATCATTTTTTGATATTCTAATTCTGATAAATAATTAATTACTACCGACACGTACGAGTATATTGTACACACTTTTTTCATTTTACTTGGAAAAATATTTAATTTGCGTTGCTTTTTCTTAAACTTAACAAATAGTTGTCCTAATATTAGCATGGGCGCTAAAGAAATAAATAAAATAAAATAAATATTTTTGACACGTTTGGCTAAAATCTTTAATTTTAATCTTTTCAATAATTATTGAATTTTTATAAGTAAATTATTTATTTATTATAATACATAAATATGCTAATCGGCTGTCGACATATAGGCTATAATACAATTACATTTATAAGAAAAATATAGCCATTCTAATAATTTTTTGGGATTTAGAAGTAGTTTCTTAATTTTGTGATTGTAAAAGAAATTGCATTTATTAGATAATTATTATCAGTCTAATAGTATTAGTTTAGGAATCCAGTAGTAATTGTTTAAATCGTCAAATTTTATCTTAGGGCGTTTAATAAATAAAAAATGATGTTAAGTTTTATTTAACAACTAAAACTATATTTCTCGTTTTTTCTTGAAATTTTCTTTTTATATTTATTCACTCAAAATGCAACTATAAATGCAATATATTATTTTGTTATAAATAATTATACCAAAAATTCTCGTTAGTACTAGTAAACCAGTATTTAATTTGTGTTGCATAAAAATATTCCTTTATTTATTTATTCATTCCAACGCTAATCGACATTTATTAATAAAATAGTATAATTTTGTACATTTAAATAATATTGCTGGACATCAAAATACGGAAAAGAAAATACATGAAATAAAAAATGGGGATAGAGAATAGTGGTAATGGGATGAAGGGCAAGGAAATCATTTGATGTGGTGGCTCTCACACCATGGACCTGCCTTTGGGCAGACTACAATTATTACTATTATTATCAAAATACGTAAAATTAATGGGAAAACGATACTCTCTTCTGCAGTTTTTTATGCATTATTGGCTTTGGCTTTCTATCACTGGATTGTCTTACCAATTACTGGATTTGCACATGATTCAGACATTCTAAGTAACTACACTTTATATTTCTAATGTTTCATATGGAATAGGTTCAGATATTTAAAAAAACAAATGCATTTGGCTTTCACAGATCTTACAATCCCAAAATATGGTTGTAACGTCTACCAGGGCAAATATACCTCTAACCTTTAATTTATTTTAACAAATTGATCCCTCGCACCTTTACTTGCTCTAAATTAGATGTGTCCACGATTCATATGTCCTAATTCGATTCTTTTCTTTTTCCCAGGATTGCAGACAACCTTTCCACCACGGGTCCTTCTTTGACCATGAGGGTCTGCCCTACTGCGAGACCCATTACCATGCTAAAAGAGGCTCCTTGTGTGCAGGTTTGCCACAAGCCGATCGCCGGCAGATGCATCACGGCGATGTTCAGGAAATTCATCCAGAACACTTCGTTTGCGCTTTTTGTTTGAAACAATTAAATAAAGGAACATTCAAAGAACAAAACGATAAACCATACTGCCATAATTGCTTTTATAAACTATTTGGATAAAGGATATTTTTGTATTTTTTGCAAACAAGAGAGAAAGTAAGTTTTGGAAGGATTTGATGGGATTTAAGAGGCGAGTGCCAAAATTTAAATTATAAATTATATATATATATATATATATATAATGTTGTTACAGAGAATAAGTTACAGATTTTATATAATAAAAATTGCTTATGTCGAACTATACATCTGCAATTTTATGTATACTTTATTCAAAATTAACAGATTTGCGTTATTTTTTCTTAAACCATGAATATCTCAATATTTTTGATGTTTATGGAATAATTTATACCAATGCTATATTTCATTTATTTGTTAACAAACAAACAACATAGAATATAGCAGAATTATCAATTTTAGTACAGAGATTCCAACAGAGCTCATTAAGAAAAAATTCTTAAAAACGATTGGTTAACATTGTTTATATTTTAAACGAATTCTTTTTTATAAAGCTGGTTGCTTTTATTTTATCTATTTTTATGTTAATTTGTTTATAAATATTTTAATGGCAGGATAACAATTTTAATATCGCTTTTGCAATATAGTTAATATTGCATATTGAAAAAAATCTTAAAAGCGACTTTTTAATATCCAACTTATTAATATTAAATAATATTGAGTATCATATCGATATTCTAAACCTTTTTTTTAAATGAAAAAATAGTTTAAATAATAAATTAATTCCTCCACAAAAATTGTTAGAATTTCCGATAAAATATACATAAATTAACGATGTTTATAAGAATGATATTAAAGTAATTATAATGTTATAAAAAATATAAAAATGCCACTTTACCAGATCATTCTACAACTCATTAATAATTTTTTAATCCTCATTAATAGTTAACTAATTATTTTTTACTTAAAATCATATTTATTTCTCACGTTTGCAGAAATCTTGGCTTCGGCCAAATGAACGTATTCATAACAAAATAATCTTTATTGATTAAGATTTAAAAGTTATTATAAGTATTAAGAATACAAAAACTTTATGTTCTCTAATATAATATTTGTATGGGATGACTGATATTGCTGATGCATGATTTTTAGACACTAAACTTTAGTTGAAACTAAATATAAAAAATGTCATAATATGTAAATATTTATATAAACGACTAATTTAAATTTAATCTAAATAATGCTTTTATTGTGTTACACGAAAAAAATATATAACAATAAATTAATAAGAATAAAATAATTTTTTATTGAAAATTATAATTGCAGGGATTTATTAACATAA